CACCACTGCACTCCAGCCTGGGCAACAGAGTGAGACCCTGTCTCAAAAAAAAAAAAAGTTTTCACCAACATTCTTTGTTTTGTTTTGAGACAGGGTCTCGCTCTGTTGCTCTGGCTGGAGTGCAGTGGCTTGATCATAGCTCACTGCAGCCTCGAACACCTAAGTCCTCCTGCTTCGACCTCACAACGAGCTGGGACCTACAGGCACATACTGCCATGCTTGGTTAATTTGTACAATTTTTGTGGAGACAGTGTCTCACTCTTTTACCCAGGCTGGTCTCTAGCCTCAAGCGGTCCTACCGTCTCTGCCTCAAAAAAGCACTTGGGATTACCAGCATGAGCCACCACACCTGGCCACCAACCTACAGTCTTATCATCACTGAGTTCGTATCTATCTGCATCTTGTCCAACACTCCATACTACCGATCTTTCAAATTTTTGCCAGCTGAGCACAGTAGTTCACACCTATAATTCCGGCACTTTGGAAGGCCAAGGCAGGCAGATCACTTGAGCCCAGGAGTTTAAGACCAGCCTCGGCGACATGGCGAAACCCTGTTTCTGCAAAATATACAAAAATTAGGTGGGCTTGGTGGCATGTGCTGGTACTCCCAGCTACTCCAGAGGTTGAGATGGGAGGATCACCTGAGCCCGGAGGGTTGAGGCTGCAGTAAGCGAAGTCATGCTGCTGCGCTCCAGCCTGGGTAACAGAACGAGGTCCTGTCTCAAAAAAAAAAAATTTTTTTTTTTTGGTCACTATAAGAGTCACAATTTTGATTAGCATTTCTCTTATTACTAGTGAAACAGAACAGCTTTTCAGATGTTTGCTGGTTGTTTGTATCTCTTCCTCTGTGACTTATCTTTCTCAGTGATTTGCCAATAGGCATTTGCAGTCCTTTTTTATTTTTGACATGGAGTCTCGCGATCTCGGCTCACTACAACCTCCACCTACCAAGTTCAAGCGATTCTCGTGCCTCAGCCTCCTGCGTAGCTGGGATTATGAGCATGTGCCACCACCCCCGGCTAATTTTTTGTATTTTTAGTAGAGATGGGGTTTTGCCATGTTGGCCAGGCTGGTCTTGAACTCCTGACCTCAAGTGATCCACCCACCTTGGTGTCCCAAATGCTGGGATTACAGGTGTGAGCCACCACATCTGGCCGTTTGCAGTCCTTCCTTCACCTAACTCTCCAGTTGCCACCGTTGCCAGTTATGGAATTTTAGGTTTGAAATGGTTTTCTGTTGGAATTCTGCAGACAATGTTCCGCTGCCTCTTAGACTCCATGGTTGCTATTGAAAAGCCGGATGCCATGTTGATTTCTGATCGTTGGTATATGACCTGTTATTGTCTGTCTGAAAGTGTTTCAGATCTTCTCTTCTCCCCTGATAGTCTGAAATCCAGTGCTTCCATAGGTCTCTGTACATTCATCACCCTGGATACCTTTTTAATCTAGAGACTTGTATATTTCAGTGCTGAATATTTTCTTGTGTGTTTTTCTTTTTAAAATAATAATTTATTTTCCTTTGTTCTCTCTTTTTGAACTCCTTTCATTTGAGGTTAGACTTCCCGGATTGATCCTCCAAACCTGTTTCCTTTTTGTTTCTTTCTCTTTTTTTCCCCCCTTCTCTCTAGTTTATTTCCCTCAATTTCAATCTACAACGCTTCTACTGGATGGTAAATTTCAACTCTCGTAGTTTTAATTTCCCAGAGCTTTTCTGTGTTTCTCTGTTCATTTTTCATGGCATCCTTGGAAGGATGCCAAGCTAAGGAGGCCAGGAGTGAATAAAAGGGGTCCAAGCTCCCAACTGTGCCCTTCTCCTCTCCCCTGGGAGCCACCACTGAGGTTCCTCATGGTTCCTCCAGTCTGGACTCTGCTGCTGCTGGTGGGAGCTGCCCATCTCAGGTAAGCTGGGCCCAGTGGGTAATGATAAACCAGGGTCAGTTGAGGGTGGCTGTAGGAATATGGAAGGGCAGAGCTGGAGGGGGTGAGCAGGCTAACTACAAAAGACCTGGAGAGAGGCCGGGCGCGGTGGCTCACGCCTGTAATCCCAGCACTTTGGGAGGCTGAGGTGGGCGGATCACGAGGTCAGGAGATCAAGACCATCCTGGCCAACATGGTGAAATCCCGTCTCTACTAAAAATACAAAAAATTAGCCAGGTGTGGTGGTGCGCACCTGTAGTCCCAGCTACTTTGGAAGCTGAGGCAGGAGAATCGCTTGAACCTGGGAGGCAGAGTTTGCAGTGAGCCGAGATCATGCTATTGCACTCCAGCCTGGGTGACAGAGTGAGACTCCATCTCAAAAACAAAACAAACAAACAAAAAAAAAAACCTGGAGAGGAAGGGGGAAACCCGGTGGGATGGAAATGGGTTGACCTTGACTGCTGACCAGGAAGGGGGAGAGCTGCACAGGCCCAGAGCCTGGAATTAAGGGGCAGGTTCTGGGAGCAGGACAGGGCTACAATATGAGAAGGGACAGAGGAGGTGCAGAGCTGGAAGACACATCTAAGGCTAGGAGAGAAGGATCGAGGGGTCAGGCCCTCAGGAAATGGACAAGACCCAGGGTGGACCCAGCTGATGAGGGAGACTTAAGTATGAGGCAGCAAAGAAATGACGGATGACAGGCCGGGCGTGGCAGCTCACCCCTGTAATCCCAGCACTTTGGGAAGCCGAGGCAGGTGGATCACCTGAGGTCAGGTGCTCGAGACCAGCCTGACCAACATGGTGAAATACTGTCTGTACTAAAAATATAAAATTAGCCAGGCATGGTGGTGCATGCCTGTAATCCCAGGTACTGGGGAGGCTGAGGCAGGAGAGTCACTTGAACCCAGGAGGCAGAGGTTGCAGTGAGCCGAAATTGCACCATTGCACTCCAGCCTGGGCAACAAGAGTGAAACTCCGTCTCAAAAAAAAAAAAAAAAAAAAAAAAAAAAGAAATGATGGATGTCTTGGTGTCCTGCAGTGTGTTTGGGAGAATTTGAACAAGTAGAACTTCAACAACAAAAAACTGAGGTCTGAGCACAGTGGCTCCTACCTGTAATCCCAGCACTTTGGGAGGCCAAGGTGGGAGGATTACATGAGGTCAGGAGGTCATGGCCAGCCTGTGCAACATAGAAAGACCCCATCTCTATAAAAAATAGAAATAAATTAGCTGGGTGTGGTGGCATGCTCCTGTAGTCCCAGCTACTGGGGAGGTTGAGGTGGGAGGATTGCTGGAGCCCAGAGGTTTGGGGCTGCAGTGAGTTGTGATTGCACCACTGTACTCTAGCCTGAGTGCCGGGGAAAAGAAAAGAAAAGAAAAGGAAAACAAAGAAAAAAAGTCAAGTCACATACATTCACTGCATAAACACGGATCATCCTTCCGTGACCACTCAGAAAGCTCATAGTCACTGAGTCTTATAATTCTTGATAATGACAAGAGTTGCATTTTTGCTTTCTCCAAACCACCCCCAAGGAGAGAGAAGCCTCCGGACAAGAAGCTGGCTGTTCGCAGCTCTAGGGACAACTGTGAGTTGGAAACCAGGAGTGCTAAGATTTCTCCTCCCTCCTCCGAACCCACATTCTGCCACCAGAACGCCAGTGCCTGAGTTCCTAGCAGAAGCGGCCACCTCCAGTCCCCTCCGGGCATCAGCCAGGACTACAAAACGTGTCCCGCCAGACCAAGTCCAGCCCTCCAACCTCAGTTCATGTCCCTGACCTTGGCATTCTGTCCACTCTCCCAGACCTGAATTTCTCCTAAAAGATTCTCTCTTTCAAATCTCTGCTCTGGGCCGGGTGCTGTGGCTCACACCTGTAATTCCAACACTTAGGGAGGCCGAGGTGGGAGGATGGCTTGAGGCCAGGAGTTTGAGAGCAGCCTGGGCAACACAGTAAGACTCTATCTCTCCAAAAAACAAACAATTTCTGCTCTGGACCCCAAGTCTTTGTGACAGCTTTCTTTTTGTTTTCTTTTTTTGAGACGGAGTCTCCCTCTGTTGCTCAGGCGGGAGTGCAGTGGCGTGATCTTGGCCTCACTGCAAAGTTCGCCTCCTGGGTTCAAGCGTTTCTCTTGCCTCAGCCTCCCCAGTAGCTGGGACTACAGGTGTGCGCCGCTACACCTGGCTGATTTCATGGCAGCTTTCTCTAAGCATAGCAGTCTTGCTACTTCCATCTCCCAGTGTGGTTCTGGGCCCTGCCCCTGTCCTCTCTGAAACCTCACAGTGACCCGTTCTTCCTAGACGTCCTCACCCAGTGTGATTTTGAGGATGATGCCAAACCCCTCTGTGACTGGTCCCAAGTGTCCGCAGATGATGGAGACTGGGTTCGAGCCAGCGGGCCCTCTCCCACCGGCACCACCGGGCCTCCCGGGGGGTACCCCAATGGAGGTAAGCGGCTACGGTTTCCGGGGGGCCATGAGCAGGGAGGTGTCTGGGAGGCGGGGATGGCTAGATGGAGGGAGAAGGGAGGCAACCAGAACAGAGTGCCTGGGCTCTGAGAAGGGGATGGGTGGGGGCAGCCCTCGGAGGTGACTGGGCCTCAGGGTCCTGGGCTCTGCCTCCCCCAGAGGGCAGCTATCTGCATATGGAATCCAACAACTTCCACCGTGGGGGCGTGGCCCGCCTGCGCAGCCCCAACCTATGGGAACAAGGCCCCCTCTGCGTGAACTTCGCCTACCACATGTTTGGGCTGTCTTGGGGCGCCCAGCTCAGGCTGCTGCTGCTCTCGGGTGAAGAGGGCCGCCGCCCGCACGTGCTCTGGAAACACCGGAACACCCAGAGACCCTCCTGGATGCCCACCACCGTCACCGTGCCCGCAGGGTTCACCCTGCCCACCCGAGTAAGGCCAGGGGCAAATTGTGGGACCTCAGGGGAAATCTAGGTTTGGGGAGCCTGGGGGTGGGGGTGTGGCAAAAAGGGATTGTGGGGGCCAAGCCATCTGAAATCAGGAAGGAAACTAGGAGCCAGGAGGCCTGGCTGAGGGGCTCATGGGGTTGGGTCCATTTATCCTCTTGCAGCTGATGTTTGAGGGAACACGGGGTAGCACTGCCTACCTGGACATTGCCCTGGATGCCCTCTCTATTCGCCGGGGCTCCTGCAATCGCGGTGAGTCCCTGTCCCTCCTCCTACCACCACCTGCCCTCGGACCCTTTTCTCTCCGCCCTTGCACAACTACCCAGGGTGGCAGGAGCAGTTCATGGACCAGGAGTCTAGTTGCTTCCTCTGCCTCTGCCCTCCACGCCAGAGGTAGAGATCACGCCACTGCACTCCAGACTGGGTGACAGAACAAGACTCTGCCTCAAAAAAAAAAAAAAAAAAAAAAAAAAGAAGAATGAAAGGTGCCAGAGAAAGGAGATGAGGAGCTGGCTGTACTGGGTCTGCCAGGTGGAGCTCATAGGGCTTTGACTCTGGTAGCAGCCACGCCTAAAGAGAGGTCTCCTCCGCCCAGCACTGTGGCTCAGGCCTGTAATCCCAGCACCTTGGGAGGCCAAGGTGGGAGGATGGTGTGAGGCCAGGAGTTTGATATCAGCCTGGGCAACATAGGGAGACCCCCATGTCTACAAAAGAATTTATTTATTTATCTATTTGAGACAGAATTTCACTCTTGTCACCCAGGCTGGATGCAGTGGCGTGATCTCGGCTCACTGCAACTTCCGCCTCTTGGGTTCAAATGATTCTCCTGCCTCAGTCTCCCAAGTAGCTGGGATTACAGGTGCCCACCACCATGCCTGGCTAATTTTTGTATGTTTAGTAGAGCTGGGGTTTCATTGTGTTGGCAAGGCTGTTCTAGAACTCTTGACCTCAGGTGATCTGCCCACCTCAGCCTCCCAAAATGCTGAGATTACAGGCATAAGCCACCGCGCCTGGCCAAAAACTTTTTAAAAATTAGCCGTGTTGGCCAGGCACGGTGGCTCAAGCCTGTAATCTCAGCACTTTGGGAGGCCGAGATGGGCAGATCACGAGGTCAGGAGATTGAGACCATCCTGGCTAACACGGTGAAACCCTGTCTCTACTAAAAAATACAAAAAACTAGCCGGGTGAAGTGGCGGGTGCCTGTAGTCCCAGCTACTTGGAAGGCTGAGGCAGGAGAATGGCGTGAACCCAGGAGGCGGAGCTTGCAGTGAGCTGAGATCTGGCCACTGCACTCCAGCCTGGGCGACAGAGCGAGACTCCGTCTCAAAAAAAAAAAAAAAAATTAGCTGGGCGTGGTGGTGCCACCTGTAGTCTTAGCTACTCAAGAGGCTGAGGTGGGAGGACTGCTTGAGTCCAGGAGTTCGAGGCTGCAGTGAGCTATGATCACACCACTGTACTCTTAGCCTGGGTGACAGAGACCCTGTCTCTAAAAAAGAAGAAAATATTATATCTTCCCTTCTTTCTTTCCTCTCAGTCTGTATGATGCAAACATGCAGCTTTGACATTCCAAATGACCTCTGTGACTGGACCTGGATCCCAACTGCCTCCGGGGCCAAGTGGACTCAGAAGAAAGGGTCGTCGGGAAAGCCAGGCGTGGGGCCTGATGGCGACTTCTCTAGCCCTGGTAGTGAGTAGCGGGCATGCTTCTGCCCCTTGTCTTTCTGGGCACCACGCACCCTACTGTAATTGCCCTGGGACGGCCTGGCATGAACACCTACAACTTCAAGCCTCTTATCAACTCAAGTTTCACGTAGGAAGCTGATTTCAAGAACCCAGCCAGCCTCCCCCACCACTGCCCTACAAGCTCTACCTGGCACACCCAATACAGCCAGCTCCTCATCTCCTTTCTCTGGCACTTTTCATTTTTTTTTTTTTTTTTTTTTTTGAGGCAGAGTCTCATTCTGTCACCCAGTCTGGAGTGCAGTGGCGTGATCTCTGCTCACTGCAACCTCTGCTTCCTAGGTTTAAGCAATTCTCCTGCCTCAACCTCCCGAGTAGCTGGGACTACAGGCATGCACCACCACACCTGGATAATTTTTGTATTTTTGGTAGAGACAGGGTTCCACCATGTTGGCCAGGCTGGTCTCGAACTCCTGACCTCAAGTGATCCACCTGCCTCAGCCTCCCAAATGCTGGGATTACAGGCATGAGTCATTGCTTCTGGCCCCTTTCATTCTTCATTCATTCAAGAAATACTGAGCACCTACAATATGCCAGTTGCTGTCCTAGGCACTTGAGATACACCAGTGTACAAAACAGACAAGGAAGAGTAGGGTGGGGTAGTGGGGGACAGTTACTGAAACAAAGTAAATATAGTTATAAAGTGAGCGGTGCCACTGGGAAAATAAAGAGTTGAACAAATTTGGAGCCAAGTGCACTGGCTCACACCTGTAATCCCAGCGCTTTGGGAAGGTGAGACGGGAGGATCACCTCAAGTGATCTGCCCACTTCGGCCTCCCAAAGCACTGGGATTACAGGCGTGAGCCACTGCACTCAGCTGTGAGTTATCAATTATTTATTTATTTATTTCTGAGACAGAGTCTCGCTCTGTCTCCCAGGCTGGAGTACAGTGACTTGATCTCAGCTCACAGCAACCTCTGCCGCCCAGGTTCAATTGATTCTCCTACTTCAGCCTCCTGAGTAACTGGGACTACAGGTGTGCACCACCATGCCCAACTAATTTTTGTATTTTTAGTAGAGATGGGGTTTCCCTATGTTGGCCAGGCTGGTCTCGAACTCCTGACCTCAGGTCATCCATCCACCTCGGCCTCCCAAAGTGCTGGGATTAGAGGCGTTGAGCCACTGTGCCCGTGCAAGTTATCAATTTTAAATGGGCTGGTCAAAGTAGGTCACATTCAGGACACATTTGAGCACGAACTTGAAAAAGGTGAAGGCGTAAGGCCTGCAAATTATCAAGGGTAGAGGAGGACATTCCAGGCTGAGGGGCCAGCTGTGCGAAGGTCCTGAGGTAGCATTGGGGCTGTCAGGGAAGGAGGGGATTAAGGTACAGCAAATAGCCATGTGGCCGGGATGAAGAGGGTGACCTGAGATCCACAGGAGAGGCAGATCACATAGAGCCTTGAAGGGCATCGTCAGGACTGTGGCTTTTCTGTTCTACGTGAAGCTTCCCAAAATCCTGGGAGCTTTTGCAGGATTTTGAGCAATTATTTGATCTGACTTTTTTTTTTTTTTTTTTTTTTTTTGAGAT